ACATATGTGTCAGCTGCACTTTCTAAACAATAACAATGGCATAACATGGCAATAACAATCATCTACTGTCTCTATTACATGGTGGCTGATCTTGTCCTCTGCTCTGAGGTTGAGGAACACCCGCATCTAATTGATTTCCCAACTGGCAGACATTTACGGCTGCTGTTCTTCTTTTTTGAGTTAGTCGCTAACTGCTAACAGCTAGATTTTAAATCTCCCGCGATGGATCGTACACATAACATATCATCAAAACCTCACACCCTTGCCACCCATGGTCCATCCTGCATGCTGTCCTGTTTATACAGACACCGTTTCGGCGCTCCTGTTGCTGTTGTGTTAGTTACACACAGCATGGCAAGGCAGCATAACAGCAAGGGGTTTTCAAATTCACACAATAATATGATACAACAGTGGTTGTGCATGATTGTGCAAAAATTTAGATGTGGGAGCTGTTTATTCACACACACTCTTTTGTTACGGGCTTCACTGGGAGGCCTGGGACGCTCACTGTGGAATAGATATTAGCCTCGCATCCTCTGCTGCCCTCCATTAGAAGCTAGAGAGTTGTTATCAGCATCATCCGCCTCCGGCTGCAGGCAGGTCAGCCCTAGCTACGTACTGGAGAAATGTCAAATACTGAACATCCTATCACTCATTTAGACAAAAGTAGATTGGAAAATAGGGCCCAGGTTGAAAAAAACATTAGTTCCCCTTTAAGAGGAATTTCTCTGGCTCGCTAACTTTTTAGCACATTAGCTAATGTTGGCTACGATAGCAAGACAAACTTGAGGAAATCATCCAAGTGTGGTCCTCTTTTGTAAGATTGGCTTCCTGTGACATCATCCATCCACTGAGTGAGAGCATACGGGTCGGCCAGTCTGGTCCCGTTGGTCAGTGTTTACTTATTCAAGTAACACTGGCGGTCCCGGAGAGTGAGTGACCTGACATGGTGCGTTGGTAAATTCAGTCCGACGCTCTACACTAAAATGAGAGCCCTGTTGGTGGAAGAAACGCAGCGTTATATTTCTACATGAATGAACCAACGGTTACATTAATCACACATTCACTCAGCTCGGCGCTCTGCTGCTCCGAGAGTGCGGTGTTCTGAATAACTTAATTGTACATTCTGACAGCGCTCCGAATTTTCAAGCAGTCCAGTTTGTGCCAGAGTGCGCTCTGGAGAATTGTTTTGCCTCCAGCTAAGCCCCGCCCACCAAAAAATGTCATGGTGTTTACTAACAGTAAAAGGGTCTATAGACGTGCTGTGACATAAATACATTGGCATTTTGAAAAGTTACACTTTTTTGCCCTCTAACCAAGACTTTGATGAAAAGACTGACACCACTCTTGTGTCTGTAAAGTAAATATGAAGCTACAGCTAGCAGCTAGTTAGCTTAGCTTAGCATAAAGACTGGACACAGGGAATTAGCTAGCCTGGCTCTGTTCAATGGTAACAAAATCACCCTACCAGTAAGCTAATCAACAAGTTATATGTTGTATGTTTAAACAAAAAAAAAAGGCGAAGTGTAAAAATTACAATATGCTGTTATATGAGCGACAGCATAGTTATATATTTATCGTACAGACTTGAGAGTGGTGTCAGTCTTCCTATACTGTACACCTCTTGCTAAGAAAATGAATAAGTTTATATTTCAAAATATTTTCCTTTCAGGCTTTGCATGGTGCATAGTCGGTCGCTACCTGACGAGAAGAATGTGGAATAAGAGACCAAGGTAATATTCTTTTCACTTTGAAGGTTGGCAAAAATCAAAACACAGAATCAGTGCCAGCTATGTGTATCTCATTATTAAAAATAATCAGAACATAATTATCTTTTCTTTTATTAATAAATCTCCTTTTGTTTTTAGAAAAATCAAAATTACACAGTAAACAAACAGCTCAAACACTTTGCCCAAAGCCAAACGACTATTTCCTAATGCTTTCACAATATTTTTTACATGAGGCGGTTCAACACTTACAGGAATAATACAGCAGAAAAACAACTTTGTAATTATTTTAAAGTCCTCACAAGTTTGACAGAGCCAAAGTGTGTGAGATGCATCACGTCAGGGACTGAAAATCCTTAAAAAAACAAACATAAATCTCACATAAAAAGCGAGTGAATCAGGCACATGTGGTTGTCACTATTTAAAATGAGTTTGCAGTGTTTAGCCGAGGTCTGGCATACGATACCTGACTATTTACTGGATACTCCCTCAAAAGATTATTTGTAATAATAAAAGCAAAATAATACAAAAGTTTCTGTTTGCGTTTGTGCTACATAACTGAGAGTTTTGTTTTGGGTTGTTCCTCTAAAGGATAAACTCACATTTTCTACATCATTTTAACTGAAAACACATCAAGAAGGGAAGCCAGTCAAACGGGGAGATTGTAACAATAAAAAACATATATCAAAGTTTATATTGGCACCTGACTATTGTTTTAAGACAGAGCTGAAAATTTGTGAACCTTTAAGCAGACAGACTGTAACAGCAAAGTCAGAAAATGAAGGAGGTCGTATTGGACAAACAGTAAAACCTAAGGTGTAGTACTAAGGTGTAGTATGTCTGTGGTGACAGATGCATAAAGGTGTAAAATAATACATTCAAAAGATGCCGTGAATGAAAAATGAACTTGTGTCGATGTGTTTGTGTTTAAAGTCACCAAAGTTTCTCAAGAGAAGCTTTGGATTCACAATAGACATTTTGTCATAGTCCAAACAAACCTGCATTACCAGTGTTCCACAGAAAGAAATCTGAAAATCTATACAAACAAATGCATCCTATGATACATTCTCAGCGTCTAAACTGGTATATTACAGCACGATAAAATCTCAAAGAAGAAAGGGACATAAATAAATCCCTATTGGCAAAAGTACTGATACAGTACAAAGCAGTCAAACATCACCATTAAGAACAACAACTGAATTATTACAACAATCCTCATTAAGAAGACATTTGTCAGAAATCTATAAAGTTTCCCTTTTCTTTTATATTTTGCATTAAAACAAGTGCAAACAGAAAGGGAGTGAAACTACAGTATGGCAGTTTTTTAAAACTTAATTTTTCAAAGTTAACACAAAAACCTGTTGGTGCTTTACTGTATGCAGACATGAAGCATTGTGAACACTTATATCAAGCTGCATACTTCATGTAAGATGCAGTAAACACAACCACATTCAGAAAGTTTCATACTAGAGAAATTCATTAATCTATAAAGTCGCATTATGTCAAATAAATATTAAGACACTTGGCTTCACGTGACGTATTCAAAGTGCAATTCTATATAAAAACAAACAAAAAAAGAAATGCACATTTTAAATATGCACATCTATTTAATATTAAGTCCTTGTCCCTAATAAATTGGACCATTATTTTGTTGCCCCTGATCCCAGTCCGAGTCATTTAATATAGAGTATCTTCTGACGCCAAGTCTCGATCCGATACTTCTATTTTCCTTAGTAATACACCTGCACAGTGCATTTCAGGTACTTTAAGGCTGTGTTTCCCAACTGGTGGGTCGCAGGTCCACTCTGAATGGCCCACAAGTGACTCGTGAACGTGTCAACTTTAAATAAAAATACCCCTTATTTTTGAAGTGCAGTAAATTTCCAGCACAAGTTTTTATTTTGAAGTGTCGTTTCCTGTTGTAACAGACAGAGACAACAAACTAGCTCGACGACATGGCCAAGCAAGATACTGAATATGTTAAAGGAGCTATATGTAAGGAATATAAAGCAAATAGTCGTAAAATCCTCCTAATATGTCACAGAGACTAAGGAATAATGTTCATATAACATACTGATCTCACCGACAACAATAGTACAGCCAGAATATTCGCATTTAAAAAAAAATTTACGGTCCGCAAATCATGTTTATGTTTTGAATTTGTGTTTTGGCCTGTTGTGCCACCCACCGCCGTCTACCAGTCACGCAGTCAGTAGAGTCTCAGCATCAGTTAAAGTTATGACTGAGCTACAGCAGCACGGCAAGCAGCATTAGCAGTGTCCAAGTACATAGCATTAGCAGCCGGCTCCTCCTCCGCTGTATCCCGGCAGCAGAGAAGCCGGACTTGCTCGAACGGTCCGCTGGAAAACCGAAGATCAAGGATGCGGCGACGCGGCCCTGCCACGGCAGCCGCCCGTGGGCAAACAAATCAGTCTCCAGCGTGCCGCTGTCCAGCAACCTCAAATCTGTAGGGGAGGGGGGACGGACACGACTCACGGCAGTATGTTGAATTTGAGTGCAGTAACCGTTTTGGCCACATTCTTACATACAGCGCCTTTAAACCTTGTGGACTAAATGACTAAAGCCTAGTTCACATTACACGGTTTTCACCGCAATTTTGACGTCGCAGAGGATCTTGAGAGCCACCTTGGGTCGGAGGTGAGTCGGCAGATAGTCTGCCACGACGAGTCCTCATGTGTGAACAAGCAAACGAGCAAGTCGCCCCCACGTCTGAAACTGGGACTGGATATCTGGCATGCTAGAAAACTGGAGAAGTGAGACACGACTGACAAAGAGCATCAGCCAATGAGAGGCGGGATACGTCCCACGTCAGCACGCAGGAGGACGGAAGAAATGTGAGGAGGACAAGCCGCAGGGTTGCCAGGCCTGCTTATTAGCCACGACTTTGGGCTTGTTTCTAAAGTGGAGTTGTTTCCATAGCCCTGGTTGCTTGTTCCTCTCCCAAGATCTGGCAACACTGACAAGCCGGCAAGCAACAAATATTATATACTTACAAATATTGGTAGTCGCAGGTTGCGTTTTTTTGGGCTTGTTTCTAAAGTGGAGTTGCTTATTTGGGCTTGCTCTCCAAATGTTGCCTTTCTCTATATATATCCGTCGCTTCTTTTGGGCTTGTTTCCATAGCCCTGGTTGCTTGTTTCTCTCCCAAGATCTGGCAACACTGACAAGCCGGCGAGCAACAACAACAATGGTGGCGTCCACAGGATCACGGGGAGCGCGGTATGTTTGGACCCAGGCCCTGGAGGCAGATCTGATTCAACACTGGGAAGAATATCCATGACTTCACGATGTGTCGTCTCCAAGTTTGGTGACGTCACCGCGTTATCTGGGGCTCTGTCGGCGAGGGCTCGGTGGAGAAATCTTGTGGTGTGTACACAGGTCGTAATGCAGTTGGCGAGACTGCCGCTGACAGAAACACACGTCGCCAGGTATGAACACTCAAAAGATTACGTCAGGGTGAAAATCGTGTAATGTGAACTAGGCTTAAGGAGAAATCTGGACCCTGTGGCCAGGTGGGAACCACTGCTTTAAGGTGTTTAAATCAATCCAATGTACAGTCTATGCAAGAGCTCTGCAATGCAATAAGAAAAAAATTCCCTGCATCCAACAGGTTCCTTAATTGTTAATTTATTAGCCTATTATTCATCTGTTATATGTACAGTAGTACATGTGGTAGACACAGACAGTGTGTGGCCTACGTACCTCAGTAATGCAGCTACACTGCCATTAATACTCAGTAATAGGAGGTCACAGGCACACGGTCAAAGTTTCTTGCAACGTTAAAATGAAGTATAAAAGCACAAACACTCTCTTTAATCTTTTCGGCCTTGTCGCTGTCTCGAGGGAATTTCTCTGTCCTTTTAAGAGAGCCTTACCTGAGTTAGCCTACCTGAATGAACTGTATTCCACTGAGTGTTTCTTTCTGTCGTTTGTACCTCTTGTGTGTGGATTAAGTTCCATTAATCACTTAGTTATTGGTCTTTTTGCCTATTAGCTTTTGTCAGGACTGCCCCTTGAAACTCGAGAGATTCGAATCGTCAAGTCAGAAACCATTCAGCCAACTGAGATGGCTTCTAGTCAGGCTGTATTTATTTTTTTCTTGCTAGTCACTGTGCTGTGCAGTGTACCTCTAGGGACGTCCCCACATTTTGCCGCGGACTGAGCGGTCTTGACTTTCACGCTACTCTTTGGTACAGACAGCTCTGGACAAGATGAAGCAGCACAGAAGAGGAGGAACTTTTCACTCCAAGTCTCTTCTCTCTTCTGCATGGACGTGGTGAATTCACAGTTCACAGATACTTAATACGACACAGTCTCTGGCTTTTGCCCGATATCTAGTGTCGGCAATAAATGTTGCTGCACACTGAACATCACGCTGAGCCCTGTTTAAACTTTAAAACTTTATAAGGAAGGAAAAAAAGTTGAATATTTGTGTTCAACAGCTGATTCTGTTTCAACTGATATAAGATATATATATATGATATATAATCGCAGTGGCATGTTGAGTGTGATTGTTGCAAGCTCTGCACTGCTGTCTGTCTGTCCTCCCAGCAAGGCAGTGACACACCATGCGCCATGGATGAGAGCAAAATGCACAAGACTGCACAGAACTTCGATAAGTAGCGTACAAAAAAAACAGTCTCATACTATGTTTTCGTGTGTGGTGTGTGATGTTTCGCAGCAGGCGGGGATCAGTCCCTGCTCCTACACATGGGGAGCTCAGCGGAGTGGACGGGAAAAGACAGCAGAGAGTTTGAGAGTTGACAACGGCTCTTGTGTTGCTCTGCATTAAAACTCAGTGAGTAAAAACACCTATGTGACAGCTGACGAAAAACAAAGGATGAGATTGGGCTCTATGTAGCTCATATAGCCTGTCCTGATCAGTTAATAAATGCTTTGATCAGCTCCGATACAGATGTATCGGGACATCCCTCTCATTATCCATGAGAATCCCCGTCTCACAACATAAAAGTATCACCTTGAATGACATTAATGCAGAATTATGGCCATGCATCAGAGGGCAGCCTGTCTGCAAACCTCTTTGCTCCATCCTATAAACTATGCTGCGAGAAAATCAGTCTTTCACCTGAACTTTGGTTATTGATTAGCTGTAGCCGTAAACAATTGATTATCTTTACAACAAAAAGTAACAAAGGATTTGCACTCCTAATTAGACAAAGGTCATATAAACCGATATACTCCTTCATTGAAACAAGACTAATGTGTATGTAAGTGACGGGTCCATGGCTCGGTTACAAGTGTCTTGTCAACTATCGGGTCCTCATCCACAGCAGTCCCTCTAATGTGTTGACAGAAGTGTTGCTAAAGAAGCAACAACAGATTTAGGACCGGCCTAATAAGTGTCTGCACAAAAGAATCAATACACCAGAGTGTAAATTAAATAAATAAAGGTCAAAGTGCTCGAAGATTCAATACACCAGCGTGTGAGAAGATACAGAAAGAGTGCTCTAATCAGATACTGAACCCCCAGCAGTCAATGTGTGAGTGAGTGCAGCAGAGCCCCTTATTAGTCTGTAGGCTAAAGGCAGGAGTCCCAGTGTATGTGCAGGTCAGAGCTGTCCAGGAAATCAGCGGAAAAGACACTAGAAGGTGTCTGGGGGCAGAGTGGGCCCAGCATAGGAGCCTCTTCTCTCTTCTCTCCAACCAGTCCAATACCGTCCAACCAATCCATACCGTCCAGCCCTTGCTCCCCCTCCGCTGCCATGTCGAAGGTATCCACTGGAGACAAGGGATGGTCCAGGATGCTGGGGGTGCACAGCATTTGACTGTGGAGGTCATCAATCAAAGTCAACAGGCCTCCAGGCTCCACCCCCAGGAGAGGCTTACCGGTGGTGCTTTCAAGAAAGTCCTCCAGGCGTCCGCTCCCAGCGCTGCTGAGGCGTTGTTTCTCCTCTGTGACGTCGAGCTGGGTCTGAAGCTCAGACTGAACCGAGGGGGTCGACTGTGGGGTGTCATAGCTGGGTGGGGCAGCGGGTGATAGCAACAGCTGGAGTGGGGAGGGAGGAGAGGAGTGTGGATGTAGATGGTCCAGAGAAGGATCAGGGGCTGGTTTGAAGGTGGTCGACATTTCTGAAGGAAAAAAAAAAAAAAAACACGGAATTTTGAAAAATTGAACATAAAACTGGCCACCCGATACAATAATCATCAAACTGCTGAATGAATCAAAAAAGTTAATACACATCACAAAAATCAGACAATGTTATTGCCTCTTACCTCCTGTCTGTAAGATGATGTCAATAAAATCATCTTCATGCTCTGCATCCTGAAAACACACACACACACACACACACACACACACAGAGGAAAAACTTTAGGCTCGAAACTGCGTGTAAAGTTCACTAGTCCATACCCAGTAGAAAAACGTGGGACTGACAGAATGACACACTGACAGTTTCTGTGATCATGTACAGCATACCATACCATGACTTAGTCATACCAAAAATTAGAAGAAACAAACAAACATTGGTCCACAGGGGGAGCCACAGCGATCGGTCGCATTTTAGCCATTTTTAAGCATTTTTCTGTTGTTATAGCGCCACCCAGTTGCCAATTAGAGTTAAATTTCTCCAGTCACCTTGAGGCGTCCTGTTCTACATATCTACCAAGTTTAGTAAAAATCCATATGGCGGTTAGGCCTAGATAAGAAATGAGCTCTCTAGCGCCCCCATTTTGTTTGATGGGGTCAATAATGGAGGGGTCCCCTCAGATTATGTGTGGTCATATGCCTACAAAGTTGCGTGGTGATGGATGAAACCCTTGAGATGTTATACACCTTTATGTGATGAGCCACGCCCTCCGCAATATTCATTGCCTTATAGAAGCTCAGTTTTAGTAAGTTTTCCAACTTTTGCCAAGAGGGAACTTTAGATATTGGTCCCTAGATTATGTTCACCCAGTTTCATGCAGATCGCTCAAACTTCCTAGGAAGAGATCCATTTGAAGTGTTTTTCAAAAAATTCAAAATGGCGGAAAATCTATATAAGCGGAAGTTATGGGTTCTTGAGGCAAATGTGTTCCTCATGAGGAGAGGCATCTCTGTGCAAAGTTTCATGTCTCTACAACATACGGGGCATGAGATATGCCCATTCAAAGTTTGCAATTTCAATCGGTTGCTATAGCGCCCCCCTTTGGCCAATTGATGTAATATTGCTTCATTCGCATCCTCCCATGACCCTCTACCACTGTGCCAAAGTTTTTGTCAGTATATCGTAAGATAAGATATAGCTCAGTTGTTCCTGAAATGGATGTACTGGTGCCCCTAGTGGTACTTTGGAGTGCTGCAGGGTGTTTGAACAGTTAAAAAAAAAAGAAAAAGTTGATTTAAAAAATATAAGTCACGCATAATTCCTAAATTAATGATGCTATAATACATGAATTAAAATGCAAATTTAAGTTCAACAAACCATATTTTATATTCTGTGTTTCCATTCTGAATGCCATCTGTTGGAAACTCTCTGTTGCTGCAGTAAATTAGTTGCACATAGTACAGAAGCCTAAAAGTTTCTGTTACATAAGCATTAAATGTTGCATAGTTTTGACATAATTACATAATTTTTATTATATTGTTGATTACCTTTTCGATTATAGTAATAACTTCCATTACAAGGGTATGTAAGGACAGGTGATCCAGTGGTCGCGTGGCACAATAAAAAAAGCACTCTGTCTAATCGGAGCAGGATTCAATGCCTCATGTTTTGCAACCTGCAAAATGTGCTTTGCCATTTTGGGGCTTTATATAGGCTTTTTTTGCTACCAAAAATATTTGGGTACATGGCTGAAAAAATATTGAAAATGGGGATTATTATTGAAAAAAGTTTGAGAAACACTGACATAACACAAAACTATGCGACACAAGCTCTTGATGTGAGATGTGAAATGATGTAAAACAACATAGCAAACCGAAATGCAGAGCAAAACAGCTTAGCTTAATGTAGGTTAGCAAAACCTACATTAACAAACACCCCACGGAGATAAAAATCACACATTTTGGATTGTGAACATCTCAATCATTTTGCACAATGACACAATCAGACACGCAGTGGGTCATACTTTGTTATCAGGCGATGAGGCAGCGGTCTTAATGGAAGCTGGAGTCAGAGGACTGAACAAGACATCCAGACCAGGGCAAAACTCCTGGAGGAGAGAAGAGAGAAGATTTGTATGCATCCAAACTGATCACAATGCGACTCTGTGATACAAGTCACCCTGAGAGATCATCCATGTCATCATGACATTACTCACAGTTTGAGAGGAAGGTGAGGGAGCAGTCTCCTGGTCCCTGAAGAAAGGCTGCAGACTGGGAGGTGCTGACAAACACTGAGCAACTTCCTGCTGAGGCGGCTCTACAGACACATGAAGGCCCCCGCTCTGTGGCTTCAAGTCATTAAAAACAGTGAAAGGATAAGTTCTCCTCACAGGGGAAGAGTATTCAGAGGCAGCAGCACTAGTTATTTCAGTAACATCTGAAATCACGCAGAATTTCATTCTATTACGAGTGCGATAAGAAGGGCACAAAGATCAGGAAAGACTGCTGACGACAGCAAAATGTGCAGTCGGCACACGGCGTTCCACCAAATCTTGACACTTTCCAGCACACCTGCGCTCCCCGAGACATACTGTACATCTCAATTAGCCGAGATGCGGAGGAGTTTTTGTTCCTCCTCCGTTAACAACATACATCATAGTAATGGAAGATGTCGTTAGAGTAATTAGCCACGCAATAATAATCAGCATCGGGCTAGTGTCAGACACTCTTATCAAAGAGTGCTGTCACTGTCTCCAGCAGCATACATCATTAATTTCCTCTGCTATTGGACTCGCTGGAGCACTTCTCTTTCACTCTCATGTTTCGCTCGCTCTTTATGGAGTATTAACGGACTGCTCCGTTATTGCTCCAGTGACAGGGGCTATGGGGCTCCAGGGCTGGTGTGAGAATGAGGAAGTGTGTATGTAGCATGATGAGGGTCCATGAAATGTGTGAAAGAGATGATTTAAGGCTGCTGAGTGATGGTTTGTGTTGGCAGAAATGCCCCATGCAGAAACTTTAATGTACTTAAAGCACTGAAAATTAACATCGGAATTCTCCTGTTAAGAAACAATAAGCTTCTTGCTACAGACAATAACCGAACACTTTTCATGCTTTGCTACAGCAGAAATTCTCCCAATGAAAACACTCCGTATCATGATTATATATTTAAATCTCACCTTTGTCTCTTGTTGTTTCAAAAATCCCACATGCATGCTCTGTTTGGTTTGGTTATCAGCTTTAGGCAGCTGAACAGGGCTGTGGCTGGGGAGCTTGGCGGGTGTCGACTGTAGTCGCTGGTGGAAAATGAAAAATGCAAACAGTGTTGATAGTATTGTTAAGTGCTTAATATAACAATAAAAAGGTTACAAGAGCAGAAAATTGCTTTTTTATCTTTGCGTTCACACTCTACTTTATATACAGTGCCTCTGATCCATAATGCTGACATGGTGGATATTAACCTTGGAGATTGGGTACCTCTAATTTGGTCACTTATCCAACATAATGCACACTTTGTGAGAGGCTTGTAGAGAGCCCAGATCTTAAAGGGGAAGTTCCGTTTTTTACAACCTGGACCTTATTTCTGGCATTAAATACGGTTGTTTACTCACCCAGATAAGTTTGGTGTCATTTGGATATTTGGATTTGGATTCATATTTAGATCCGTGAGAGCCGCGTACATCCATATAGTGGGAATGATCGGGGCACCGACAATGAGGCTCTAAATAACACATTGTCTGCCGCGAAACTCGTTCATTTCACCAATATGTTTTTATGAATCGCTAGAGTTGCTTGTCATCATCATCCGGGTCATTTATACTGACCTACTAACCTCTGACCTGGATGATGTCATCCAGGTGCGCTGCGCGCCTGCAGCACTGCTCTGTTTACAGCTGGAATTTGCTACTGTTAGTTTTTTGAAACATGGCTGAATATTTGTCAGATTTTGAGGTTGTGGACGACGACTTTGAATATGATGGACGTCCTTACCGTTTTGAGCCAGAGTATACGGATGAGGAGCTCTTTGAAAGGAGGATGTGGAGGCAGAGAGAGGAACAGCTGGCCAGAGAACAACAAACCGCTGCACGTCCGAGAATAGATGCTAACTGGTGGTGTTCTTGTGGACAATGTTCCACTATGCCAACAGAGGAGGAATGCCTTTGCTGCTCCGAGTGGGATTTGAGGCCAGGAGATACACGTCTGGATGTCTCCAGAAATGACACAACTACAGAGGATTTCACTTTTATGATCAACCGTACTGTTGTAGAGACTTTTTTTCGTGTCCCGAAAGTAAACTGGAAGACCCAGCCAAAGCCTGCAGGACCGAACGGGCAACTTTCGATTGAGTAAGTAGCCTACACAGCAGCATAAATTGTTTATTTTCCTTGAATTTGTTTGCTTGATAAGTAAATAAATGTAAGAATTTACATTTCTTTAGTTTCTTCTCATCGCTTGTGTAGAACTGCCCGCACACTGCACAAAAAGCAGAGGCACTTCTTATGGAAAATGTGAATTTATTATTACATAGTGCTCAGTGACAAAAAGTGAGAAACAGAAAGGTGAACGTTCCGGTGGTCAGAGGTTAGTAGGTCAGTATAAATGACCCGGATGATGATGACAAGCAACTCTAGCAATTCATAACAACATATTGGTGAAATGAACGAGTTTCGCGGCAGACAATGTGTTATTTAGAGCCTCATTGTCGGTGCCCTGATCATTCACACTATATGGATGTATTCGGCTTTCGCGGATCTAAATATCTTCCGAAGGACTCCAAATGACACCAGACTTATCTGGGTGAGTAAACAACCGTATTTAATGTCAGAAATAAGGTCTAGGTTGTAAAAAACGTAACTTCCCCTTTAAGGTACAAGAAATACTGGGGGTAGGCAAAGGAAACAGCAGAATTTGAAAATAATACACCCTCCTCGACCGATTCATCGGTTTGGCCATTAATTGGCACAGATAGAACTTTATATAAACTATCGTAAATGGCGGAACGGGGCTCCAATAGTGGCTGATAGCTGTAACCTCCACTTGCCACATGTGTACGGCCATCAGGCTTTTGCACTAAGTACCTCACATGCAAAGTCAAGGTAATGGGTGCTTTAGATAATTTGTATGATTTCAATGAACGTTAACTAATGTAGGACTTTATTAGGGGCATAATAAGGTTGCTGGTTATAGAACAGCTTTATGTGCTTTTTGTTTTGCAAGCAAGCATGGTCAGTATAATTTTACTGGAATTGATGTAACGGGCCTAGAACTAGCAATATGTGTGGTTATTATAGCGATTACAAATCCACTATCGGTCGACCTCTAATAGTAACCCAGACATTGGCTGACTGAATATTATTTCACTGATGGCTTGCCAGCAGCGCATTAGCTCCGCCCCTCCTCGCCCTGCTCTCCCTGTTTATCAGACCACAAATGAGATGACAATCAGCTAGTGAATGGACTGGGTCTAAGCTGTGTAAAGGCAGCAACAGAAAGTTTGCTGATCGGGCGGGGAAGGCGGAGCTGTTCGCTGGCTGAATTAGAGTGGCTGTAGCTGCTGACTCAGAGTCTGCGCCTGTAAAGCTCTTTGGAATGACACACTTGATTCAAGGTGCTAGCTTGCTACATAAACATGACCTTAAAGTAGCCATGAGCCTTTAGCTCCAGTTAGCAGGAGGCTAAACTATTAGCAATATTTAATCTCCATCTCTGAAATGCCGCGCCAATATTGACACGTTTTATTTTGTTTATTGTCAGACTCGTCGTACGACTTCCTCCCCTTTTTGGGTTGCTTTGCAGAGTAGGCCGCTGTAATGCTGCTATAGCAAGTTTCTCAGCAGGATTCTCCACCACTGAATCAGGCTTTCACCGAAGGGACGTGCATGCACATCTGCATTTATAGAGCGTCCAACAGAAACGCCCTTTTTCTAAATGACCTTTGATTGGCCAAAGTCTCCCGTCATAGGCTTTCTAAAGCCTGAAGACAGAGCCAAGAGGAGGTGCAGAGGTCTAGTTTTCTCTCAGTCCACTTGAATTAGAATATGCTGAAAGGTTAGAATGGCATTTTGACCCAATGATGCCAAAATAAAACTGCCTACCCCAGCTTTAAACAGACTGCTGAAAATGAGTCATGTACCTGCAGTGTGATTTGATTGGTTGCTTTGCTCCCCTGTGCATCAGTTCTTTGGTTCTCAGTGATGTGACTGGTCAGTGCAATCAGGAAGTGGTTGCCGTTGCTATCGGAGACCAGAGTCGGGGTGGAGTCGCTCTTGAGGTGATCCAGAAGGAAAGAGGGAGCTGAGCCTGACTGCTGGTTGAGGTACGCTTGAGACACCTGGACAGAACCCATAATAACTTTTAGAGGAAGAGTTTTTGCTCCATATTTCATACCAACACACCTGAGCTTCTATATGCTCTTTTATCTGACCACATCAGGTGAACACTGTTCAGGAGTTTCCTTTACTGCAGAACTTAAGTGGCATAATGAGACAATCTGACAATAAAGTCTTAAACAAAAACATTCCTGACCTGTGGTGACTGCTGCTGCTGCGCCTGCTGTTTCTGCTGTATCAGCACCTGCTGTTGCTTCAGATGTATCTTGGTCTGTATCTGGATTTGTTGCAGTTGTTTAGTCTGCTGCTGCTGCTGTAAAAATGACTTCTGTTGCTTCAGTAGAATCTGTTGCTTAAGCTGCATCTGCTGGTGATGTTGTTTTGACTGTTGGTGCTGTTGCTGTGATGGCAACAGTTGCTGCTGTTGTTGCTGGAGCTGTTTGAGCTGCTGTTTGTGAGATTTCTTCTTCCTCTGCTGGGAAAGTTTCTGCAGGTTCTCCACTGTCTGACCGCGGTTCTGAATTGTCTGCTTCTGGTTCTGAATTGTCTGCTGCTGCTGCTGCTGCTGCTGCTGGAGCAAAAGTTTCTGTATGGCCTGTTGCTGGGCCAGTTGCAGAGTGGTTTGCTGCAGACGTACATGCTGTTGTTTTGTCTGTGAGCTCGTCTGCTGCGGCTTGACATGGAGCCGAATCTGCTCCTGCGCCTTCTGCGTTTGGGTTGAGGACTGCTGTAATCCACAAGTGTTTGGTAATTGGATAGCTGACTCACATGCACCTTCCTCTGCCTCCATGGCTTCCTGTTTGACAGTTACCTTGATAACATCCATCTCACATGAAACAGATGACTGTGGAGGAGGGGGGGCTGAGAGAGGGACACCGGGCTTATCGGGAGGCTCTTGTTTAACTCTTACAAGAACTAGCGGCTCTGCTCCTCCTCTGTTCCCTTGCTCCAGCTGCCACCTCAGCACCTCCACCAGCCTCTGTTTCTGCATCAGCATCCTGGTCAGCTTCTCTATCTGCTCGTCTTTCTGCTGCAGCATCCTGTCTTTGTCCACGGTCACTGCTGGAGCTGGAGCTGTGGCTGTAGCGGTGAGGGCACCTGATGAGACCAGGGGATGGTTCTGCAGAGAGGCGGGCTTTACAGAGAACTGGCAGGGTGCTGGGGTGGAACACTTTGGCTCCTCTTTAATGTTGGCTGGAAGCTGAGCAGCTGAACATGGCTGAAGGTTCACCTGGCTGAGAGGTGAATTCATCTAGACAGAAAGAGAGGAAATAAAAACATACAGTAGGAAGCCTTGACAGGGAAACACTATAAAATCACAGTTCTTAGTATGTAAACAAGAGTAATGGGCAGATTCACGAAAGGATTGCGTGGCTCTTATAGCCGTTAAATCTGCACAAATGAGAAAGTAGGTAGCTGTGTGATTCTCAAAACACCTTACTGCACTACCACGCAAATCTCATCTTGGTGAAACTGTTATTTGCATGTATTTAAATGAGGTAATATACATTCATTTGCCGCAAAACTGGACCCTTTATATGCAAATGGAAGGTGCCAAGCCTCTGTGCAATCAGTTGAATTATTCATGTCTGTCATGTCATGTAAAGGATATTTATACATAAACACATACGTTAATATGTAAATGGTTTCATGCCAAGACTTTCTAGTGAAGCACTGAATTATATTTTTTCTTTAATCTTTTGTTTCAAATCGTGCCAACTAAAAAAGACGGCGTGCATTTGAAAATACCAACAGCACAGACAGACCGGGATATTAAATCCCAAATATGTTTTCTCTCTGTAACATTTAAATTCCTTGCTTGAAGTTTTGAGGATCTGCAACTCTGAAAATTTCAGTTTTCTTTTTCTCTCTGCCATCATTCTGTTTACTGTGTTCTTTGCCCAGAGGCGACATTTATACTTTGCAGTCAGACGCAAAAAGGCTGCAAAACTTTATGGGCGTGTTTGCGCTCTAAGATCCCTAGTGCAATATCTTTTATGAATCGAAACTTGAGACGGGGCAGAGTGGCTGAAAGTGATGTGCAGTTCACGGTACTATCGGCAGCTGTAATCCATTTTTTGTGAATTTCCCCATAAGAGTCTACAGCCAGGCTGGAGCTATGTAGCAGGTATAATACTTATAATGTTAATCATCTTACTTAACATTTTAGCATGCTAACAGTTGCTAATTAACACTAAGCACAGTACAGTGGAGGCTGATGGGATTGTTGCTGCAGGTGTTTAATCATAAATTAAGGATTTGGGCAAATCTTTGTTGTACTATTTTGACACACTGAAGTAAATAAATGTATCTAAACATACCTTTTACTTCATATAGATATTCTTGAAATTTAACCAGATTTCTACTAAACTGATTTTGCCAAGCCCCGCCCCTTTGTGATAGTCAGACAAGCTGTTAGAGTAAACATGGAGCCCACACTGTAACTAACTGCACTCCCTGAAGAAACATGAAAGAGTGATGTCAGAGAGAAGCAGACAGAGGGGTCTACAGTCTGTGTTTGAAGGATATATCCAGGATGTCAAACTGACTCAGCAGCAACAACAGGTTAAAAAGACAAAGATAGTTAGAAGCTAAAGCCGAACTATAGGCTACAGATCACTTTCATGTTTCTCCTGAAGCAACTCCTATTCTGATTAAAGGACAGTCTGTAGAGATTGTATCCTCATATAAATATTGGGGTGTGCATGTGGACTGTAAACTGGACTGGAGGAAGAACTCAAACGCTATTTTTATGCGGTTGTTTGTTGGGGTGGCAGCCTAACATTGGAAGACAGGAACAGGATCAACAAACTTATTAGAAAGGCATGATCTGTTATTGGTATGAGCCCTGCTTCTCTGGAGGTCATAACAGAGCAGAGGACTAGGAGGAAGCTTAGAGCTATCTTGTCTCAGGATGATCACCCCCTGCATAGCACTTTTGTTAGAAGTGGTAGAAGTAAGCGGCTTCTTTTGCCCAGATGCTCCACAGAAAGATTGAGGAAGTCCTTTGTTCCTGCAGCAACCAGGCTTTTTAATCTGGATTGCTGATGTCATGTCTTGCTGCTATACTAGTCCTTGTACATTGCACTTTTAAATTGCATTTGTACTCTTTTTAATCTTTTTAATCTTTATTTATTTATTTATTTTTTCAGGCAATTTTGCTATTGTTGTATTGGACCACTGCACTCCTAGGTGACGTTATTGTATATGTATATTTTGTCTATGTCTTATTGTTGTACTGTATGTTGGCCATGGTGGCAATCCAGTTTCCCCTTGGGGATTATTAAAGTTAATCCAATCCAGATCACAGTGTAAAAGTGAACCACCACATCACTGCTGATCGCCACACAAGACAATGAATATAAAGGGAAACTCTGCTGATACTGAACCAGCTGTGTGGCATCACAGTGTGTGCACATGAACAGTGTTTGGCTTCACCCCAGCACCCAGACCTCTGCTGCCGGCCAGATAGGGATCTCTGTGGGAAGTCAAACAGCATTCATCTGCACACAGTGCGATGACACACAGCTGGTTGAATATGAGCAAAGTTTCCCTGCTTCCCTTCACTGGTTCCTGTACAGCAGGGTCGCTCTTTGTTTCACTGTTATAATCATTAAAAAGCAAAAGCAGCATGTGTATACATTCAGTAGGCTATATCTTCAGTAGCTAGCTAGCTAACCCTACACTTTTCAGGGTTTGATTTTGGTTTTGGAACAGGGAAGAAACGTATATCTTTTTCCAACCTCTCCAGGTAACGAGTGTCATTAATACACGACGTGCCCCAGGCACAACATTTAGCTCCAAATCCACAAAACCAGCCTGAAAATGAAGGAAAAATTCACACCATTTCCCCCATGGGGTCGCTCCTAAAGCTGGTATCCTCTGGGCTCATGGCGCCTGGTGAGCGGTCAGAGGGGGCGAGTGAGACGACTGGGGGGGAGATGTTGCCGCTACAGGTCAGGAGCTGCTGCTGAGGAGTGGTCTCACTGCTACCTGCATCAGCTGTTCAGAGGTTGAGAAAAGGTTGTGTGACTTTAGGCAGACGATACAAACACAATACATTATTTACACCAGTGGTTCCCAACTGATGGGTCGCAGCCCAAAAGTGGGTTGTGGGTTCATTCTGAATGGAGATTTAAATTTCTGTCTTCCTTATCTTTTAACACTTGAACACATAGTTCTGTGAGGAGAGGGGATTAAGGAAGTACAGATACATTTTCTGTTTGACTGACCGGTCACAGAAGACGTTTGATGGCACTGATACTGAAACTGTTGCTGTTCTTGTGATGTGATGCTGTTGGAGGTTGCAGCACATTTGGAGGATTTTCCTGCCCCCGGCCCTGTGGTACCCCCTGCTGTCGAAGAGGAGGAAGTGTCGCTGCCTCCATTCAGCTCCTGGTAGGTCCTCAGCCTCTCAATGAGGTCGTTTTTGGTGCCGGAGACTGGCAAGCTGCGCAGCTTCAACTCGGACTTCAGTTCCGCGACCTGACAGAAGACGGAGTAACAAAGAAATTGAGACTGACGGACACGAATGAGGAAAAGCAAAGAGATGAGGATAAATACCAGAGGAAAATTGAAATGGATCAAAGGGAAAAAGAAGAGGGAAAACAAAAAGACAGAATAATCCATCACTGTCCCTTTCTTTGTCAGCTCGGAGTTGGCAGGCCACTTTTCTGGGACAGAATTTTGTTAACAGAGAATCTTTTACATATGCCAGTTTCTATCCACCAGTTACTCCATTGACTCATAGCTCAGAGACAGCAGAGAGAGCTGTTGCTCTTCACTCTTGTGAGTAGGTGAGACATAATATATGGGTCATGCAGGTGTTTTATTTAAATGTTGCTGTGCAGCTAACCTTCATTTCATCCAGGTTTGGAGGCAGACACACTGGTTTTGCAGATGTGTGACGGCTGTGACTGCCTGGGTTAGAGGGGGCTGTTGAGGGGGCAGCGACAGGTTGAGGTGGGGAGGAGGTGGTTGTGGAATTGGAGGAGGAAGAGGGAGGTGGCTGCTGATCTGTCTGAGCTCTGTTGGAGAGAAAGCTATCAGGAAAGTGATCTCGACAGTCTGTGAACAATTAAACACCTTTACACAAGACAGCAGCTCCTCAGTTTTGAAGTCTGTTTCCCCCAGGTGTTGCTACACACCACATGCTTGACCATAGACAAAAAAAAAACATACTTGGGTGGTGCCGGAAGGATGGCATGGTAGTTATAGTGCTGCTGCTGCTGATTGAGGATCTGGAGCTGCAAGAAGAGCTGCTGCTGCTGGAGGATTTTGGCATACGATGAGTCCAGATGGGGAGGAGGCTCTTTATCTCCCTTCTGGTCGGGTGGGATGTACTGATGGTACTTTAACTTTTTAATCTAGGAGGCGACACATCAACAACACAGCAAATAATAGTTTTATTGCTGCTGCTATGACTCATTTGTTTCCTCTGAGGTTTAGGTTTAGTTTTAAATCTACCTTTGGCTTGATGTCCTTTGTTTTTTTGTGTCTCTGTGCGGAGCGGTCGGAGCTTGGTTTGGGCTGGGACTGGTAAAAATGGAAAGATGCCAGTTAGTGCTTACTGTAAACTTTCATACAACAATATAATTCTATGTAACTTCATTATTCACTCTCCTTGTAGCTTTGCTTTGGTCTCTACTAACACCAGAGGGAAACACCTGGCTCCTAAGCCTGTTGATGCTACCCTGGGAACCAGATGTATGTGTGAACTCATGTTGTATTTGCTCTGGCAGATCTGGTCCCCCTTCCAGTCAGACAGATTTGCAATAGACCTGCCCCAATTTGGCCAATCACAACCATTTATTTAATACGGGTTTGTTTCAGATGATGACTAACAACTTGTGGAGCCTCTGCACTTTTGGCTTGTGTGCCATCATGCTGGAGATGCTAGCTTAATAAATTAAAGTGCTGTTGAGGCATTTTCAAAAACAACCAAGATGGCTGCGGCTGTAGTGTGTTTGCATTTATACATTTCAGGGGCATTTACTGTAAAATACGATTTGATTATTGTAAAATGTATTTCAGTCAGGAACACTTTAGTCAAAGAAGACTTTATTGCCATTTGCAGTATTATATTTGGAGGTATGGCTCTGTTCCGGGGCCTCTCTGCTTTTCCTCGGGCCTAGGCAGAAAGCCTTAGGGGGAGAGAGTAAAGTGCAACACACACTGCCGCCGGCATGGCGCTGTGGCTGCTAAGTGCCGCCCCCCAACACATATTGGCAGAGGCACCGTCGACACTAAAGTGTATTTCCCACCCCAGCCCACTAGGTGGCTGTACCTACACTAGTCGCCAACAGTTGCCAACTGCTAGTAACAGAAGAAGAAGAGGAAAAACTGAGTTTCTTATCAAAATCGTCTTATTAAAAATTTGAAAAACTTAATAACGTTAAGCATCCAGATACCCCTTTGAAAGCTGAAACCGGAGTTGATACTATGGCAGCCGAGATGTACATAAAAGGCTTTTGTCGCAGCAGTGTGGGTTTGTTCATAGAATATAATGGAAGCAGGCGTTTTGACGCGGTGTGTGTTGCACTTAAAACTCTCTGCCCTTCCACGTGCCTACATGGAAAGCCTGAGGCAGAGACAGCACACCTCCCTGCCCTTCCACGCGTAAACTAAGAAATCCTGAGGCAGAAAGGGCAAATCTCCCTGCCCTTCCATGCGCCTACATGGAAAGCCCACGGCAGGGAGAGCAGCAGCAAAGACCCCCCGGGAACAGAATACAGCAGTATCAATGACAAACAGAAATGACATTGATAAGTCAGACATAACATGAAAAGGAAGAGCTGGGTGGAGGGCCACGGAGCTACATTGAGAGGAATAAAAGATAGACAGTCGCGAAAAAAAGAGAGCCACATGATGATTTATGTAAGAGTAGTTGACTAGTCTAAGTTTACATTTCTGTTTTAACTTAAGTGAAACTGTTTTTGTTGAAAATAGCTATCTGCTGCTGGAAACACACTGACTTTAAAACCAAAACAACGAGCTGAAAGATGGTACAATGGTCTGTAGAGCTGGTGAACTGCAGAGACAGGTGATAATTTTCTGTTCATGTTCTGTATTGGATACCCGTGATTAATGAGAGACAGCTGTCTCATTAAACACAGTCATCTGATCCATTGTTAATCTTAAAATATTGATAAGAGCAGCTTTAAATCAAAACACAGTTAGCACTTTTTCCCACAGATTATATGACACTTATTTTTTGGTCTGTGTTGACTGATGTCACTTACCTTTATCAGTGTCCTCTGGGCAGATGATACTCCCGTCCCATTGGTCAGCTTAAATAAGGGGGAGGATCCAGGGATTGGTGTGAAAGAAGGAGTAGGTGGAGACACCTGATTGATAAGATGGAAATGAGCAAAATTAATCACTGATGGCTGCACTGTAGCTTTACCTCAGGCAGTGGTTCCAGTTTTTCTATCTTAGGTATTGAGTAAACTGACGACCCCTGACTGAGTGATATTTTTCTTATGGATATTTCATATTATATTCAAAGCATTAACAAAAACAGTACAGACCAACTGATAAACGTAACAGTTGGGTAAAGTTTGGGTAAAACTAATAATTTGAATGCATTTTGAACAGGTTATTTTCTGTGAATATTGCATCAGAGATTTGCGGAAACTTTTTCTATGTTTTTCCATTTGTATTATTTATTATTTTTATTTCTAACAATCATACATACTTAAAAGGTTTATTTTTGGACACATTCAGTGTTTCCTTTTTCCTCACGCCTGTGCATCATTGTGTTAGCTCTTTGGTTGTCGTTAGCAGAGAGCCTTCACTCTCAGTGGTGACCTCTAGTGAGAGTCGGGGCCCCCAGGTTGGGAACCAGTGACCGAGAGCTAGACCAATAAATCTGCAAAGGCCAATTTATTAACTTATAATAGTCTACTGAAGATAAATCAAAAATCTTGTGTCAGTGTATTGTTGCATTGCCTATACTTTCAAGACTATTTTACAACTAAAGTTTTGAAAAAACTCGAAGACATTTCAGATCAGAACTGAAGACATCTCTTTGATGAGAGGTGAAACATCTTCAAGACACTCAAGCAAGTCCAGTTGCCTACGATATAGCAATTAAGATTAACTGACAGATGGAAATTTAACTGTAAACAGACCTCACCAGTGAGATGACATTACAATGGTACATTAAAGTTTGCTACTCTAAAGGAATTTGCCTTATGTTTTATAATCGTGCATCTCTGACACACAACATGTCAGTCACCATTACCTGTGTTGGAGATGGGATGCTGCTCCCAGCCAGCGTCTCTGGAGGAGAAGGCGGAGGTAACAGGCCCAGAGGAGACTCCTGGCTCACCGGCTGCTCTGGAGACAGACTGTAATTGCTGTCCTCATCACATGACGAGTTATCACATGGAGCCTTCGGAAACTCTGAGTGGGAGAGGACAGGAGAGAAGAAGAATTGAAGACATGGAAACATAAATGAAACTGGTATTTTTCACACAAGCAGCTATATCTGCAACCCGTGTGTCTGACTTGCTTGTGTATATCTCTACAATGACAGCAGGCTTTTATCACCTAAAGTCAGCCAAAATGATCATCAGCATGTCCTCTACGAGTATCAGCAAACACGTCACTGCATGTGCACATCAAGGCCTATTAAACTGTACAAAAAAAACAAGCTCCTTCTCCGATGTCTGCTCTAGAACTGTCAGCCAGTGCATTTATGTGACGGTGGCTGCAGAGTAACCTAAACGCTTGTCCTCTCTGCCAGTTTTAGATATCTTAACTGAAAAAAAAAACCCCAAACAGTTTCATCCGTTCACAGTGTGGCCAGGATGAGTCAAGCTTATCCCAGTGATAGTTTTCATTCATCTAAGTTCACTTTCAGTGCAGCCAGATAAGGCCGGCCACCTCATTCACACTGGTTTTTATGTGACAGATGGTGTCTCTCTAAGGGATGACGATATGCTGAGAATTCTGAAGGATCGGTTGCGTAAGTTGTGCTACGAATGCATTAACTGTTTATGTGAGGGCTCCTCCTGTTTATGCACAGCCTTCTGGGCGACTAATGATATTCTTTTTACAAAATGTTTTTCAGGCTACAAATAAGTGCAGCTGAACAATATAAAACATACATCAGGCAAAGTATGTTAGGTTAGAGGTGTGTAGGAGCGAAGGGTGGATCGGACTCATAGACTGTAGCAACTCCTCATACTTCATTATGTGTAACTCTGGGCCTAAATAAACTGTAAAAAGGAAAGTTATGTAAACCCCCCTGCTGAAATTAGCTATAGAGACCTAAATCGTTTTTTTGTACCAGGCTATAAGTATGTTTATTTTTGCTGTAAAGTTGGGCATTTTAACATGGGGAAATTCTATTCTTGAGATATCACTTTCACGATAATGAGACAGGTCACAGTGACCTTTGACCACCAAAATCTAATCAGTTCATCCTTGACTCAAAGTGGACATTTGTGCTAAATTTGAGGTAATTCTCTCAAGGTATTCTTGAGATATGGCATTCACAAGAATGAGACAGACACAAGGTCACAATGACCTTGACATCTGACCACCCAGATCTAATCAGTTCATCCTAAAGTCCAAGTGGACGTTTGTGCAACTTTGGAAAAATTCCCATAAGGTGTTCTTGAAATATTGCATTCACAAGAATAAGAGGAATGCGAGGTCACAGTGACCTTGACCTGATGACCAAATTCTAATCAGTTAATCCTTGACTCAAAGTGGATGTTTGTGCCAAATTGAAAGTAATTCCCTCAAGGTACCTTTGAGAAATGGCGTTCACAAGAATGAGACAGACACAAGGTCACAGTGACCTTGACCTTTGACCACCAAAATTGAATCAGTTCATTCTTGAGTTCAAGTGGATGTTTGTGCCAAACTTGAAGTAATTCCCTCAAGTTGTTGTTTGGATATTGTGATCACAAGAATGTGAAAAATTCAGGGTCACAGTGACCTTGACCTTTGACCACCAAAATCTAATCTGTTCATCCTTAAGTCCATGTAGATGTGCCAAATTTGAGAAAAAAACAACAACAAAAAACTCAAAGTGTTATAGAGATATTGCATTCATGAGATTGAGACCATTGAGGTTACAGGGCCCTTGACTTTTGACAACCAAAATTGAATCAGTTCATTCTTGAGTTCAAGTGGATGTTTGTGCCAAACTTGAAGTAATTCCCTCAAGGTGTTGTTTGGATATTGCGATCACAAGAATGTGAAAAATGCAAGGTCACAAAATCTAATCAGTTCATCCTTGACTCAAAATGGACATTTGTGCTAAATTTGAGGTAATTCCCTCAAGGTATCTTTGAAACACGGCATTCACAAGAATAAGTCAGATACGAGGTCACAGTGACCTTGACCTAGCACCACCAAAAACAAATCAGTTCATCCTGTTTGTGCCAAATTTGAATATATCCCCCCAAGGTGTTCTTGAGCTATCACATCTATGAGAATAAGACAGACGAGGTCACACTGACCTTTAACGACTAAAATCTTTTTTTTTTTTTAAAATTAAAAAAAAAAAAAAAAAAAAAGATTTTAGTCGTTAAAGGTCAGGTCATAAAGGTTTTTATGGGCATTTTTTGCCTTTAATCGATAGGATAGTGAAGTGTGAAAGGGGGAGAGAGAGAGGGAGAGACAGCCGCTGCGGCAACAGCCTTGTACATGGGGCGCCTGCTCTACCACTAAGCCACCGAAGCCCCGTAACGACTAAAATCTAATCAGTTTATTCTTGAGTTCAAGTTGACGTTTGTGCCAAGTTTCTTCATGGTGTTTTGAAATATTGCATTCACGAGAATGAGAGGAATGTGAGATCACAGTGACCTTGAATTTGACAACCAAATTCTAGTAACTTAATCCTTCATTCAAAGTGGATGTTTGTGCCAAATTTGAAGTGATTCCCTCAAGGTGTTCTTGAGATATCTAAAATGGGACGAACAATCCAAAAACATGATGCCTCTGTCCAGGGCTGTCACCAATGCGAAAGCAAAAAAACAAACAGCATGAAAATGTGTCCACCAAAGGACGAATGTTTTCATATCAGCCTCAGCATCAGGTTGAAATGTCCTCCAGCAAAGGAATAGATCCAAGTCGTGGTCCTCCTGCTAATTCTTCCCTCAGGGTTATCACACATCATCATTTCATTATTATACAGACTTTGAGTCTTTACAGGGATTTCATGTATAAAGGACCTGGTTTGATGCGCTAGACAAGAATAGAGACTTTTCTTTTGCTGGTGGATGTGTGTTATTTAATTACAGGAGCTGCTGTGGGCTGCAGCAGACAGTTATGTAAAATACACTGCTGGTCATTAATTTCACATCAGCAGGCAATGATGAAAAGACAACATGGGGCTGATTTAATACCCTCTGATCCAATAACGTGATGACTTCCCTACTGCTGCGCTGTGCCTGTGTGTATCTGTGCGTCGTGCTTTGCATGTTTGTATCTTTGCATGTCAACTCTGTGTAACTCTTGAGTTCCCAGCGCTCCTGCAGTAAGTGGGAGCAATGCAATTGTGTTTATTGTGTGGCGGTGACAGAGACGGATAATCCACTGACACTGCACGTTATTGAATCTCAGCGTCCCTTCCTCCATACATCAATCAAGCAGCTGCTGGACCCACCGTCTCTGATCTCATCATCCAACGTCTGACAGCAGCGGACTAAAGATATACAATAAAAGCGAGACAGTACTGCTCCTTTGTTTCTTTTGTTGTTGATGCCAAAATGGAAAAGGGTGAAATTGGGGTTATTATATCTGTCACTGTGCCCAAACTGCAACTGATTAAAATCAGAGTCTTTCATTTAAAGTCCTAACTCTTCAATTAGAATGTGATTCTCATAATAATAGATAATGGGTTTTATTAACAGACACTGTGGCCATTTAAAGCTGACAACAGAGAGGGAAGAGTTTTTACTTTCTGGCTGTCAAGCAGGGATGGGGGGGGGGGGGGCGCATACATGATTTACTATATCCTAGATACAAGGGACAGTTACATATTTTTCCTCTTACCTGTAGTGCTACTTATCAGTCTTGATTGTTTTGGTGTGAGTTGCCCAATGTTGAAGATATTTGCCATAGAGACACTGCCTTCTCTTGAATATAATGGAACTAGCTGGCACTCAGCTTGTGGTGCTCAAAGCGCCAAAAATACATTTTGAAAAACTCAACAGGGGGATTGGACAGTGTGCTCCAATTACAGGGGTATCACACTGCTCAGCCAACCTGGTAAAGTATTCCAGGGTGCTGGGAAGAGGCTCTGACCGATTGTCAGGAAAAGCAATGCAGATTCTGTCCTGGTCCTGGAACAGTGGATGAACTCTTTACCCTTGCAGGGCGGCTGCAGGGGTCGTGGGAGTTTGCCCGTGCAGTCTACATGTGCTTTGTGGACATGGAGAAGGCTTATGACTGCGACCTGAGGGGATTCTTGTGGGGGAACTGCGGGAATACGGGTCCTTGCATAACTAAAGTGAGAGCTAGTCAACACAAAGTCAAACACGTTCTCAGGGGGTGTTGATCTCTGCCAGGATTGTCCCTTGTCTCAGAGACAATCTAGATTACTTTGGTTTTGAGTTGCCAAGTGTTGGAGATATCGACCTCAGAAGACGATGCCTTCTCTTGAATATAATGGAACTAGCTGGCACTCAGCTTGTGGTGCTCAAAGCGCCAAAAATACATTTTGAGAAACTCAACAGAGGGATTGGAAAGGGTGCTCCAATTATAGGGGTATCACACTGCTCAGCCAACCTGGTAAAGTATTCCAGGGTGCTGGGAAGAGGCTCTGACCGATTGTTGAACCTCAAATTCAGGAGGAGCAGTGCGGATTCCGTCCTGGTTGCGGGACAGTGGATGAACTCTTTACCCTTGCAGGGCGGCTGCAGGGGTCGTGGGAGTTTGCCCGTGCAGTCTACATGTGCTTTGTGGACATGGAGAAGGCTTATGACTGCGACCTGAGGGGATTCTTGTGGGGGAACTGCGGGAATACGGGTCCTTGCATAACTAAAGTGAGAGCTAGTCAACACAAAGTCAAACACGTTCTCAGTGGGTGTTGATCTCTGCCAGGATTGTCCCTTGTCTCTTGATTCCTCGTACTTGTAGTGCTTTTTATTAATCTAGATTGCTTTGGTTTTGAGTTGCCGAGTGTTGGAGATATCAGCCGAAGAGACGATGCCTTCTCTTGAATATAATGGAACTAGATGGCACCCAAAAAATACAACTGAAAAACTCAACAGCAATGTCTCTTTCCAACCGTATGACTGCGCAGAAGGAGGTGTGCATCTACTCATTGATGAGCGGCTCATGCTCATAACAGCACGAGATGTAAACATTACTGGCATCCCCCTTGGCAGAGCTGTAACGTTGGCTAGCTCAGTGGTGCTAGGTGAGCTAGTGGTAGACGCATGCTTCCTTCCTTCGCGGTGATGCGGTTGGCGATTGTAGTTCTGTAGAAAGAAATAGTTCCTGCATGAAACTGCTCACAACAAGGTCTGTGGATTATCTTGAGTAACCAGGTCATGATTTCTGGAAAGAGACATTGCTGTTGAATTTTTAAAATGGATTTTTTTGGCGCTTTGAGCACCACAAGCTGAGTGCCATCTAGTTTCATTATACTGGTGAGAAGGCAGACATCTCTACGGCCAATACCTCTAACTCTCAGCAGCTCACACCAATATAATCTAGATTAAAAAAATAACACTATGGTTACGAGGAAAAATATGTATTTTGAGGTTTTGGGGTGAACTGCCCCTTTAACATTTGTGGCTTTTGAGGCATGAATACTCAGGTGGGGGAGTTTGTGTGTAACATAGTTTTTGTGTATATATATCAGAGGGAAACGTATATTGTTTATTAAGTGTGTGTCGCCAGGCATCTGTGTGTGTGCCAGTGCCTGTGTGTGTGAGTGGCGAGCACAGCTGAGGCATCTGAGAGGACGCATCAGTGTGTTCATGACAGCTGGAGGAGGGGACCAGGAGGGACATCCTGTCAGGAGCCTTAAACTGTGGGTGTGCTGTGATATATTGCACCTTTACATTTATATCACACCTCCCTCCTCCACATATATGCAGGGCATTTTCTATTTAAAGGTGTATTTAGTAGTTTATTTCCGCTAGGGGGCAAAAAAGAAACAAGAAAAGAAGCGGAGAGATGTGGAGCCACTGTGACATAAAGGCTTATAAAGTTGTTATAGCTAATAGGAGAACTTTTACACCCAGCCTGAAACCTGCCTCTATACTATCTGTCCATTTTACTGGGCCTTGTCTCTGCCTCATAGTTGGTTTTACTGGTGTGAAAGGTAAGGTTGTCACACATAAATGATTCAATGCTTAATTCAAGCTTATAGTTGGCTCCACTAGTCAGAGGTGACTGTGAGAGGAGTTAATTAGTCCAGCTGAAGATGGCCACAGTCCAACAAACAGTTAATTTGGGGAAAAATAATTGCAGAAACACTGAATTGTCTTGGAAGGATTCCATATGTCATTTAAAATCCATCTGACAGCTGGCCCGGCTCACCTATGATGGCCTGTTTAATGCTGGAGTGAACAGGCAGGATGTTTTTGTGGATCAGCTCCATGGGCCCCGGCCGGTGGGAGATCTTATCGTTCAAATCGTCGGCAAGGCGAGCTCTCTTTAGTTGCAGCTGCTTGGCCTGAAGTGACGGCTCTGCTGATGTCTCTGGAAGCACGCAGAAACCAAACAACTTTTAAAAAAAAATTCTGCCAGTGTGCTCGGATCTTCAGAAGTTATTTGTCAGATTAGCCCAGGGTCCAGACAGACAGGAGGGTCTATGTGGCACTCACCCTCCAGGATGTGCATCCTGATTAGTTCAGAGCGCTGCGGTCGACTTCTGATCTTCCTCTTGAGATAGTCCTCGGTCTGGAGGAGGAAAAAGGAAAAAAATGAGACTGTGATTCACTTATGGATTTATAAAATATGATTATATTTTTTTCCATAACTCAAAACACTCTCACCAACATTTCATCAGCCCAGAACTTCTTTAGTTCAAACTTAGTTTTCCTCTTCTGCAATCATTGTTACCAGGTACCTTTTAATTGACACCGACATTTATTTCCAAGCTCCTATGTTCCCCAGCTCTATATAACCATAATATAACACATAAGACACACTTTACATCTGTCTTCCTAATTATTTAAAGATTTACAAATATTAATGTTCCGTATGTCTCTTGATATATAAACTAATATCGTCAGAGATTAAGGCCATTGATGATATCAATGAGTGCCATTGCAAGGACATAAATAACCCATTTTTAAGGTTACGGTTATGGTGTTTATATGATCACAGAGGATCCGGGTTATTCATATTCCCCGTATACATTCCTGTTTCTTTAAGAATACTCCAGCTAGCATATTCGGGTTTCTCATAAACAGAGTATGGTGTTTACAGGATACTCCAAAAAACCCAGTCATAAACAGATTATTCATGTCCATGTAAACGCACTCATCATCTAAAGTCAAGAAAACTGTCTAAGCCACAAATTTTAGGGCACAGGTTTTAATGAGTATAACATCAGCAGGCTCTAAAAGCCACTGAAAGGTGTTAATGTGTCATATTGAGAGGATGATGAGCTGGGGAACATAAAATACTGGGAACATTTCAGTTTATTTATTTAGGTTTAATTTCGTTTTTGCTATTTTTTAATGGTTTATGTTTGTCCATTTATTTTCGCTATCTATTAATTATCTATTAAATATAGTGTTTTATAAACAGTTAGTTTCATTTAGCTGATCAGTTGCTAACTACTGTTTATCCATTACATTTAGCCAACTCTCTGTGTAGCCAATACTTACTATTTTAACTATTACTTCGAGCAAGCATTACCCATTACTTTTAGCTCACTATTTAAAACATTATCCATTAGTTTTAACTATTTCAAACATTTATTCACTACTTTTAGCCAAGTATTACTTTCAGCTAACTTTATCCGTTGTTTTTCCTGTTTAGTTAAAACATTACCCATTACTTTTAGCTCACTATCTCACATTTATCCATTATTTTAAATTATGTTCAACATTTACCCACTACTTTTGGCATTAGCATTACTTTTAGGTCACTATTTCGGACATTAGCATTACTTTAAACTATGTCAAACATTAGCATTACTTGTAGCTTACTATGTTAAACATTTTTTCCATTTCTTTTTGCTAACTATTTCAAATGTTAGCATTACTTTTAGCCAATTATTTTTAACATTACTTTTAGCTAATTGTTTCAAACACTGGCATTACTTTTAGCTAACTATTTCAAACACAGTACTCTTAGCTAACTATGTAATACATTTATCCATTATCTTTAACTATTTTAGACATTTATCTACTTCTTTTAGCCAACTATTTCAAACACTTGCATTACGTTTAACTATTTTAAACATTACCGGTAGTGTAGCTAACTATTTTGAATATTTGCATTACTTTTAGCCAACTATTTCAAACACTTGCATTACTTTTAACTATTTCAAACATTAGCATTAGTTGTAGCTAACTATTTCAAACATTAGCGTTACTTTTAGGTCACTCTTTCAAACATTTATTCATTTTTTTTAGCTAAGTATTCCAAACATTAGCCTTGGCATTACTTTTACCTAAGTATTTCAAACATTTACCCACTACTTTTGGCCAACTATTTCAAGCATTGGCATTACTTTTAGGTCACTATTTCGAACATTAGCATTACCTTTGGTCAACTATTTCTAACATTAGCACTACTTTAAACTATGTCAAACATTAGCATTACTTTTAGCTTACTATTTCAAACATTAGCACTACTTTAAACTATGTCAAACATTAGCATTAGTTGTAGCTAACTCTTTCAAACATTGGCGTTACTTGTAGCTAACTCTTTCAAACATTTATTCATTTCTTTTACCTAAGTATTTCAAACATTTATCATTTCTTTTAGCCAACTAGTTCAAACATTAACATTACTTCTAGCTAACTATTTAGACTTCTCTGCTCATTTGGTTTTCACACAAGCTCAACATGGTGTTCAGGTGTTTACTCCGACTCAATATGTGGCTATATGTGGCTTTTTATACAATTCAGATTTTCTATTATTTATTTATTTAAGAAATTGAGCTACTCCAAAATCTTTCCACAAAACCCCTGGAAACTGCACACATACCCTGGAGAACATGTACCCCTTATTGGGAATCACTGACACTGCACCTTACTTAAAATATACATTTTCTGTGCAGATGGCCTTATCTCAGCACTTATTTGTCATTTCCAGCCCTTCTGTATTACATTGTTATTCAAGAGCTGCTGTAATGATGTCAGATGCTACAAAGCAGAGAGAGACTGAATGTGTGCTTGAAACAGGCCAGTTTTGACTCCAGTGATTGATGTGAGGGAGGCAAACTCACCCGGGCTCGTTCCAAGCTCCGTCTCTGTTCGTGGAAGGAAGCTGAACTTTTCAGAGCTTGAAGAATAAAGAGTGAGAGCAGAGCAAAAGTGGAGAGAAAGAGAGAGAGGACATTAACATGGCAGTATGTACATTCATGTCACTGAGGGGAAATGGAGAGCAAAATGGCTTTGCAAGGCTCTTTGCTTCTACAGTTCAGCTCCAGTTCAGTTTGAATAGGTTTACTGATGGTGACGATTATGGCCATTATATTGCCAAAGCTTTCCCTTTCTCACATTCTGAGCGCCACGTCAGCGTAATAAATGCCAGGTCCGGCTGTACAGACTTACTTATTTATGTGCCATGACAGAACAAAATGCATAATAGCCTGGGCAGCGGTCCCATTAACAGGTAAAGGGAGACATGTAATGGGATGGACTCTGAGAGTTCCAGTCCAACGAGCCTCTTTACAGCAGTGGAATTTATGGAATCTGTTCAGCATTCACAAATGACTCAAGCAAGACTTGCTGTAGGCCCATGATTATGCAAAAACCCAGGGATTAGTGGTGCTAGACACCTAAAAGCCTAAAGGGCTGTGATGACACCAAAATGCTGACTTAAATGCAGCATATCAGTGCAGGCATTATGATTTTGCTGCTAAAACAAGAATCCAAACCTCAAACTATTAAATAATGTTAAATTGGATGTAAGAATACATATGCAGGCAGATTACTAAGTAGTTCACAACCTTGAGCATGAGTGTAAAGGCCAGACAAGTGGGATACATATCAAGGACATGCATTTTATTAACATTTAAGATTTGATCTGCTTAATGACACAAGTGAGCACTGCGGAACTGTACATTAAAGCTTTTATACAGGGCAAGTTTTTATTTGTTGACCAATCATAGGCACCTATGAGGAAAAGGCTATACGATAATAGATAGGAGGCAGTGTTGAATAAGTAAAAAGTTAAGGTATTGAACATAGATTAATTGCTGGTGTAAATCAGGATTTGGTCCTTTTCACCACACTTTGTGGTTAGGTGAAGGGCTACAAGATCTCACTGTCTCAAACACATCGTTTCCACGTAGCTCTGTGTATGCATGCAAAAGTCTATTCATTCTTATAAGAACCACGGCAATCTTTGCAAATAATTCTTCTGTTTTTTGTTTTGTTTGACGTGTTTTTCAGTCTGGAATTTACCGTAACTACACCTTGAATTTCTGCGGCAAATTTAGGACATACTGTTTGCACTGTGTGCCACAGGAAGTTAGCATAAAAACTAGTAACGCACAGGCTATTTCATTCAATTAATGTATGCAATACAGCTTCATATGTACTTTTTTTGGTGAAACGTGTGACTGTATATTTAGCTAACACTGGTATCATGCTAGCTGTGTAACATATAGCGCATGCATAGTGGTTCATACAGTACGTCTTTAAGAAAAATACTTCACAAACTGGCTGCAATCACTGCAGGGTAATTTCATTACTTAGTCACCATCATGCATTATTACCTCTGCCAAGGAGGTTATGTTTTCGCTGGCGTTGGTCTGTTTGTCTGCAAAATAACTCAAAACGTTATGAACGGATTTTGATTAAATTTTCAGGAAAGGTGGATAATGGGACAAGGAACAGATGATAACATTTTGGTGGTGATCGGTTGAAGCAAAGTGGATAAAATAATAAATAAAGTCTATCGTCTGACAGCCTCAGCAGCAATTCCAATTTCTAAAGAAGGTAAAAATAGCACCATCTGGTGGCCGGAAAGCAAGTCTTGTTCTACTTGCTAAATATTGTTGTAATTCTAAAGTTGAAATTAATGTTCTGTGCTGAAAAAAAAGAAAGTGAAAAATACAAAAAAACATATTATATTCTGTGTTGGTACAAAAAAAACAACGAAATAAATACACCACAGGGTCTCCATGGTGACGGCATATATAACCTAATCATGATAGTGATGCAAATAACCTAATCGTGATGCAGGCTGCAAAATCTGATTGGGGGGGGGGGGATATCACCTACTTGGTGGAGGTCTGCACTCTCTGAGTGCTTTTCTAGTTGGTTCTATTATTGTCTCGATAACACTCTACACTCATATTCGACTTGACTGCAAAAAACACAAAAAATAAAAAATGCGGTGCCGTTTCTATCTTTCCATAAAGAGATTTCCGTGCGCTGAACACTAGGGGGCCTCCTCCGTGCACTATAAGGAATTACAGACACAAAACAAAACTGTGAGGAAATGAGGCGTTAGGCAACAGTGTGTTCCAATACCAGTATTACCAGTGTGCCAGAAAAAGATATAGTATGTCCTAATACATAGCATGTCAAATGCAGTGTGCCAAAAATACATCTGGTCCGATTTTGCAGTATGTAAGCCAGCAAAGTTTTCTGGCTGTTCTGACCCACAATCCTCTGCACAGTGGAAAATATGTCAAATCAACTGAGCCACAAACAGATGTCAGTGTGACAGCTGTTTGACAGCTGTCAGAAGGCACAATGACAGTTGACAGCGCATCCAAGCAACTGATGACCAGTCGAACAGTAATAACAGGAATATTGATTGTTTAAGTGAACAAAATAATCATAAATATTACAAACAACAAGAGGACATAACTATGAAAATAACAGTGACAGAAAACTGCAGATGTATATTCACTGTCACAAATATCATATGTTCTGACACACAATCTGTGCAGTTATAACTTTGAACTACACACATTGCAAAGTAACAACAGCAGAGCTTTTGCGGGTCGATCTCCATCTGTGGCGAACTGTGAGTGGCATTTGTTTTTTCTCCAAGGTAACGGATATAAAAGCAAGAGGGTCAAAGTTCAGGGTGTAATGTTATGAGACAGTAGTATGTCCCGATTGTGTGCATACTGCATGCAACAGTATGTACTTTTTAAGGGCAGCTGCAGTACCTACTAAAAGTGAGAAAAAAAAGTATGCGATTCAAAACACACATGCCCAGCGCTAAAAATCTCTTGATGCCCACTGTGCCATTGTTTTCCTATGGAAGCTGGCGTTAATGATGCCATCAAGGTACTTTTCGACTTGGGCGTCGCGTTGTGGGCTTCACCGGCGTTTTGACGCAATGCCGAAAGTTCAATTTTGTTGAACTTCGACCCCGTTTGACGCTGACCTTTCCGTGTAGAGCCAGTGATTTTACAGTAGAACACAGGCGGGGGGGCGAGGGCGGAGACAGGGCACGGAAAAATTTAAAGATCCGACTGCAAGATGGAGATGATCAGCATTGGGTCAAGTGCCTTAAGTCTTATACATACACTTAAACTTAAAGTGCCTTTAGTTGCCTTGTTTTTGTGCTTTCTTTGAATACCATCCATGCCCCTGACAAGCTTAATCATTCTTCATAGCAAAGAGAAAACAAAGCATCATAATAGCTAGGAGTGATGGGAAAATAATCTACAATCATTTATTTTTATTTAGGATTTATAACATTGCAAATACAAGTTAAACTTTAAGTAGCCTGGTAGATTAATAAAATCAGCTGCGTGGCATTAATTTATCAATACACGGACACAATTATCATTTCTTAAAAATTATGTAAATCATTAATATAGCAAATATAAAGTAAACTTTTGGTAGCCTACTAGTATGATAAAATGTATTGTTTTGTCAGTCCAATAGATACATTTAGCTGCAATAAAAATGACTGAAGTGAGATGAACACAAAAAGGTTTCTTAGATAAAAACACATGGTAGCAGTTCTACTTTGGGGACATAGTTGGCAGTTGAAAGAGCGTACAAAAAATAAACTGCAATATATGTTATCATTAGCAACATTTAAATCCCAATAATATTATATCGTGACTTAAAAATCATCATATCATGGGGTGTCTGTGGTTCCTACTCCTATCAATAGCCCCTGTGAACCATTCTTACGGTAAGGGATGAATTTTATGTAGTTACATGTACGTCCAACCCTTTTTGTTATCATAATGTTGCATATTTATGCATGCAGATAAAATGATAATTGAAAGTACCGGTCAACAAAAGCAAGCTATCTCAGAGTGCTGAACAAACAAACATACAGGATGTGCACACTGCTGAGTACAGTCAAATGTTTTTTCATTGTTCCGTCTCCATCTGCATGCTGGAACTGAAATGAACCAGTGACTGAGAGGTTAATGAGGGTCTGCACATCCATATTGGGTGGACAATGTATGATAAGCGGCCTTTTGTATCACAGTTCCACAACTTTAGGACAATAAAGTCGTCCTCTCTTTATTTCTAACATAGAGACAAAGCAGCCAAGAAGTGTTTAATAGCCAAACAGCATTTGCGACTTTATGTGCCAAGTCAGTCACAAATGGCCACAGCTCACGGCTGACCAAGGAAGAAATCACATGTATGGAAGTAAACACCCTTAAAATAAAGTCATCACTTTTATTTCATCGTCACGGTTTCATTTCAAATCCAATGTGTCGGAGCTAACACAACAGAAAATGTGTCGCTGTCCTAATACTTTCTGACTTCACCGTGCACACACACGCACACACACACACGAGTGGTGTTGACTAGATTAGCAACCCTGGGGCAAGACTGCTGGTACCTTCTCAAGCCTGAGTTCACGTCGCTGAGCATTGTCACACTGCTGGTACACACTCACTCTTGCACACCCCGGGGACATCAACCCTCTTAGACCTCTCACCCATCCACACGGGGGTTTTGAACCTGCCTGTCAGTCACTTACATGGAAAATGAGCGGTGGGATGGAGGGACGGATGGACGGATGAGCACAAAATGAGGTTTTGGAGGCAGGGATGGGTGTGGGAGGGATGGGAATAGATCGGGAGAAGACAGAGAATCAGAGAGAGAGACGGAATACAGGCAAGACTGGGGTGAGGAGATAAATGGAGAGAGGCAGCTGGAAGAAAAGTGGAACAACAGACCGAAGGGCAAATGAAGAGGAGGAAATGGAGAGTGGTGGGATGAGGTCAGAAAGAAAAGACTCCATTATGTGCATGAGTGGCTGAATCATTGCTTCTTGCCACCCTGCTAAAGCTAACCAGCATTCCCGATCTTTAAACTTCGAGAACATGGAGCGGC